AGAATGAGATTATCTTGTTTGCTACTTCTGCTCATAGAAGTCTACTCTATGTCTTACACTTTCAGAGTCTGTTTCAGAAAGCCAGTCTTCCAAGGAGAAACACGACCATGCAAGCAAGGAACTAGAGGTGACTTCAGTTCTTCACTCTGAGGGTGGTGAGGCACAGGAACAGGTTGCCTGGGGAAAACTGTGGCTGCCCCATCCCTGGAAGTGTTAAAGGCCGGATTGGATTGGGCTCTGAGCAACTTGGTGTAGGGAAAGGTGTCCCTGCCCATGATGGGAGGGTTGGAACCAAATGGTTTTTAAGTTCCTTTCCAGCCCAAGCCATGCTGTGATTCTAGGAATAAGATGCCAAGGTGGTAGAGATGGGCCAAAAGAGCTCAACTCTCCTGGTGTTCCAGCTCAACTCTCCTCTTGGTGTTAGTGATAAAAATGCTCACAGGACAAAGAGAAGAGATTTGGACCAAGTCAATAGGATAGATATAATTTTTTAGAAATGAAGAAAAGCTTCCAAAGGAAGCACTGTTGCTACTTAGTATTGTTTATTTATTCTCCAAGAAGTTCTTTGAGATGTGATATGGGATTGCCTCATATAGGAAAAATAAGGGTGAAATGGGGTGAAATAAGAGAAGAGACAAAGTTCCTCAACTTTTCCTTTATCTCTGCACATTAGAGTGGATTCAGTGGGAAGGAAGCACACTTAGCCTTTCAACTGCACAGGACATTAGAGGGGGCTTTCCTAGCTGGTGAAGTAATACACCCTTCAAATGCACATGTTGATGAGCTTTAGTGGCTTTTTTGAACCAGTAATCTACACTACTTCATTCTTTGTAAATGGTATAATGTTTTGCATTTAGAGAGTGCATTTCAGCCAGAGCTTTACAAATACTCATTAAGCCCTGAAACACTGCTCTGGAATAGATGAATAAATTATATGGGGAAAGTAATCATTAGAAACCTTGTTGTTTTGTTGAATGGTGTACAGTTTTCATGTAACCAAGGACTTAAGTGCAGCAAGTCCTTGACACCTATTTTCACTTTCCTATATGAATATTCATTTGGCTTAGGTTAACATTTCATCCCCACATCTTATCAGAACTAAAATTCATTGTCCTCTAATGGAAACTGTGCTGTTTCACTGCTACAGACAATGGTTGGCATCAAATGAAATTGTTCTTTGTTCCAAAACTATGGTTAGAATTCAGTGGTTAATCAGATGCTGATAGCAAACACTCTTGGTTTCCTTTACATCCATGTGACTATACAAAAGTCAATTGATATGTGGCTAGTGTAAGATTCACTCTCAGCATTCCAGGAACACTGGGGTTTGTTAATAAACCAATCTATAGCTTGACGTTACATGTTGCCTTACTTTGTGTTTATTTTCCCTAGGGCAAAACAGTTGTGCACTGAACTCTATTATAAACATAGCTTAAATACATATATCATACAAATATCTATGGATCTTATACTTGATTAGTGCTACACTTTGTTCTTAAAATCCCTCTAGAATGTTAAAATTAAAAGAAAGGATGTTTCCAGGGACATATGGTAGGTTATTAAATGGTTCCTTCTAAAAATCCAGCCTGAATCTGATCCACTTTGTTAATCTCCAGATGTTTCTTGTTACATTAGTATCAATTTAAATGAAACAAATTTAGTCAGGGTGCTCACAATAATAAAAAATAACCATAATGGTATCATTTTTGCTAATTTTCTCAGTGAAGATAACAGTTGGATGGCTGGAGTTGTAGGTGCACTTGATACTGCCATCAGGTTTTACTGCATCAGAGTTTAGATGTTCACAGATCTGAAGATAAAACCTGCAGTATCCTACTTTATCTTGTAACTGCTTTATAAACTATCTGTACAATACCTACTTATCTTTATCTTGATTCACAAGCCACAAAATAATCTTGGAAAAGTAAATATTCTCAAAACTATTAAAACTGAAAATTGCAAAGCTAGTTTCCCATGTACCAAAATAACTATTTTCCAGAGTTTACAGGACAAAATTAATCATCAGTACCACCATCTGTTTTTTCAGCACTTCAGATAGACATAATTCCGATAAAAAGTGGAACTTGGATTTTACCTGATTTTCCTTAGCAGCAACAACCCCAAAGGCAGGGTTAAGTGGAATAATGACCTTTGGTTGAGGCATCTCTTGTGAAATCCACCAGAAAGTGGAGAGAATGGCCTGAAGTGCAAATGCTGCCTTTTTATCAATCTCTGGAGATGCCTCAGGCCACTACTGCTACTACTAGACCAAAGCTGCACCTTCCACTTGGGAATTATCACATTCCCTACAGATTTGCATATAGTGGAAGTAGTTGTGATAGTTTCTCAAAAAAGTCTTTGTTTTCACCACGCCTTTGCCAAACCTGAGCCAGAAATGTGTCATCTAAGGAGTCATTTATGCATTTAAAAAAGGAGCTCTGCTTTTACTCTGTTGCCATGGGACAGCTATAGCAGGAAATGAGCAAAACACCCACATAATTATTGTTGACAGAATACTGTTTCAATTTTATCAAGTGTAGCCCCTGTGTGATATGTTGTTAAGGCAGCCTTCCACATCTCGGTGAATGAAATGCTGATTTGAGAAGCACACAGTGCCCAAAAGAAATGTACAATTGTTATGCTTGAAAAACACAGCATGTTAAAGACATCTCCTTCACTGAGATGGTATGGGAGTAATTATTGCTAAGTCTCTGAGGAACAATTAGAGTTGTTTTTTATTAAATTGTCATGTTTTGATTGACACTGAAACTGAATGAATCAATATGTAAATCCAGATTACAGTGGTCTAATAAGATATTGAGAAAGATTATACTTTACCAAACAGTCTGTGGAAAAACTATACAGTGCTGAGAAAAGAACCCCATACATTTATCATTTTGCCAACTGCCTTGCTGTTTTTCTTGGTTTTGAGTTTAATCTGCTTAGCTACTATTTAAATTAGATTTCAGAGGACTCTGTAATTAAGGAGTGGGATATAATTCATCATTTGTAGAGATCACATTCATTATGTATCTAAATAATAAAAGTTATTTATAACAGTGTTTTATAACAACCTTAGAGAGTTTTAACCATTAATCAATAACAATGGAGAGATGCCAATGTATAAAATTGAATCAGGCATAATAATATTCCACTTTGATAAATATCAGGCTATACCTTGGTATAATACATAATTCTCCTTAATTGCATGGCTACTTACTTTACTGATTAAAGAAAATCTATTTCAGGTGGATTTTATTGTGAACATTAACAAATTTTTACGTATTTAAGATATATATGGAATAGTTCTACTCCTTCAAGGAAGGAAGTGTCAAATAAGAAAGAATAGTTTGTTGGGAGGTAATACTGCAGTAAATGAAGAAGGGTTAGTTTAATTTATAAGAAATAATATTTTTTGGTATGAACTGAGTCTGTATTGTTTATCTGTTTTGACGTGCGTATTGCAAAAAGCAGGAGTGAAAATGTGTGACGCAGGTATGAGTGCTATAATTTCCTGAACAGTGTTTTGCACCCTGCTGACCTTTTTAGTGCTAACGTAAGCTGAGGCCCTGAGTCTATTTTGGTCTTTTCTGTGGAAGTCCACCTACACAGGCTCTAGAGGAATGAAGAATATACCATGGTTAACCCCCCCACACACACCTCCATATTTTCTATAATACCTTGACTCAGTCCAGTCAGAGTTAAGAGCTCTTCTCAAGAACTTGCAGAAGGTTCTTCTTTTCATATCTTGTGTTTTAAAAGTTACCTTTGCTATTCTGCATTATTAGAAATTGCTCTCCAGCTCTGTGTAAGAGTGAGCTGGGTCACAAGTACCAACATGTGGCCTTACTGCTGCAGGGTCTGATCACTGCAGACAGCACAGCACCACGCTGGGGAAAGTGTCCAACCCTTGCTAATCTCCCAGACTGCTCCCAGGACTCTCTGGGGATCTGCACCCACAGAGCTGCCTCAGGTGGGAGCTGCATTACAGGAGCTGGTTGTGTGTGTGTCCAGCACAGCAGGGAGGCTCCTCTGAATTCTCATCCCCAGGGCTGGCTCCCATGCTGGGTGCCAAGGCCCTGTGAATCCACCTGCACACCCAGGATTTGGGGATTGGCGCAGGCAGGCAATGATGCCTCAGCCCTGGATGAAGCCTTTGGTAATGCTGCCCTGAAGACCCATTTGTAACTCAAAAGTATTAGCCTCACATCTGCACCCCATCCATCTTTTTGAGGAGTAAGAATAAATCCTATGCAGTCCCTGTTACGTGGGAGATAGAACTGAGAGACAGTGGTCATGCTGATGGTTCACTGCAGGCAGGGGAGATTACTGAGGAAACAAGACAATAAAAAAGGAACAATGGAAATTAATTTCACAGCCCACAAGGGTCCTAAGGCTGATCCTGTATCAGCAAGTAAGGCAGAACAGGGATAGTGACAATTTTGCCTGTCCTAGATTTGCAACTTACAGATTTATTTTTTCTCTTTTTTCTGGAGACAATATTTTCTTTCTACTTTTGTTGTGTGATATTATTTATTTATTTCCCCCCCTTAAACCAAGCAAAATAAAGTTTTATTTGTATCTCGCTCTGTTTTGGGCTAGGGGAAGGAGTAACACAAGAGAGTATTTATGGAGCCATGCAATATTTGGGGATGGAGGAAAAGATGAGTGATATGCCTCAGATTTTTTTCTGTTTTTCGTTTTTTGTTTAAAGTATGCTTTCCTGTTACTATAGCTACTGGTTATGTCATGCTCACATACAGATGGTTTATTGCATTGCCTTTGCAAACTGACTGATTGCTGCTGCAAATCACTGAAGGCAGGAGTGGAAGGGATACAGGTGTGTAGCAGGAGATTATAAAACCAGGGAAGGACCTGAGCCCAGCATAGGAAGAGGGATCTCTATCAAACAGATGTGGGGGACTGTCAAGAAGGCACACTTTCTAGGATTGTAAAAGAAAGTAGGAAGAAACCGGAAGGCAGTCGGATGCTGAAAAGCTGTGATGAGGTATGTACACTTCATGTTACCAGAAAAATCAGGGAGGGTGGTTAACTCTCAGTTATCTCCTTCTGGAGCCAAACAGATTGTCCTGCAAAGGTCTTTGAATAGAGGAACTGGGAGACTACAGCCAGAAGAGGTTGTTCTGCCTGGCAAAAGCTTATTTAGGAAAAGGGCTGACACCTTGGTGAGTTAGGAGCATGGTGAGAAAGTAACATCTCTGGAAAGATAGGGCAGAAGATGCTAAAATTGAATCTTGTCTGGAGTCTTGTGTGGGGATTGCTATTAGTATGCCTGGATGTGTTTTAAGTGATCTACAAAGCAGCAGCAAGCTATTTGTGGGTTTATTAAGAAAAATGAAGAGAAAATCTGCTTTATCAAAGGCTTTGACACATTCAAATTTGAAAACATCCTGTTGAACATGTTAGTTGGTCTTACTATTAAGGGGATTCAGGGGTGAAGTTTCGGGTCTTGCAAAGCAAATGAAGAACAAACTTCAGGAGAAGCCTGGATAGTGAATTTAGGGGTCTTTAATTTCTTTAGAAAAAATGTCTTAGTTGGGAGATCGTTGGGAATATGTGACATTCTGCTTGCCTTGAGTGTGGTATGTAAAACATTCCAAAAAGGGGGGCAAATATGGTAATGGCAGTTGCCAGAGGGGCTGGAAAAAAAGGGGTAATAACAGTCATGGGATAATGGACTCAAAGCTGGAGGAAAAAAGCTTTGATGGGAACAAAGAAGTGAGGTATCTCATGTTGGGGAAGGAAATAAAATGCATAATTTGTGAGGAAACATCAGAGAATTGAACAGTTTGATTTAAAATATTGAAGTTTTTAGTCTTAGAGGTCAGTGATGTCTGTATTTCCATTTGTCCTGTTCTTTAAAGAAGGATCTTCCTCATACTCAGGTGTCCATAGCTATGGGATGACAGTGAGCCTATCTGTGTTCATAAGAATGGAAATCACTTCAAGTGCCTGCTTTAAAACAAACCAAATGTTGATAGTTGCAGGTATATCAATACTGAAGAACTGAGGGCTTCTCAGTGCTGCCAGGCTTACAGTGCCCTTTGACAAAAAAATAAGAAAAAGACCCACAAATTTTCATTTCTGGAAATGATCTTGTAAGTGACTTTGGCACATAATTGTTCTTCTGTATTTCTCCCTTCTACAAGTAACTTGAACACTGTGCAGCAATGTGACTATTGCCACCTCTGTTTAGAATGATAAGACCTGTTATGACAAAATTATGACTGTTATTTAATTTTTGATTACCAAATATATCCTAGTCTGAGCATCCTAGGTGCTGGGTATGTAAATTATTGAGACTTTGTGAAATGCAAAAGAGAGAAAACGAAGAGAAGAAGCAATAGGGCTGTGTTAAATATAGTAATCATAAAAGCCTGTGTGACAGGAAATTGTAAATTGACTTAGTAATTAGGAAATGCATTCATTCATTTTTGCTTTTGCATGCATTTTTGTGTATTTCAGGGGACGTGCGTAACTTGATTCTCTGACTATAATTCTTTAGGACAATTGGATATTCTGGTGAGAGATGTTAATTAGATATATTCCGTTATATGCACCTAAAAGATAAAACAGTAGGATGTCTTTAAATAGGAAGGAAATTTGTTAGGAAAATAGAATTATTTTGAAGATGTCTTCTCGATTCCCCAAAGGGTACTTGCAGCATGAACATACTTTTAAAAACTGACAGTGGTTTGGAAAAGAAAACATTTTAAGTAAAGATAACTACCATTTTTTTTTTTACTCCTAGGAGAGTTCAGCATGGTTTGGAAGGAGAAGTTTAGATTTGTTATGCAGCACGAGTGTTGCCTTCTCAATGTCATTTTCCCATCTGTCTTGCTCAGCAGTGTCACTGTCTCGGCTGATGCCTGTGTGCAGTCATCAGTCAGATCACAGTGACACAGTGAGCCTGAAAACTATTCTTGTACAATGTCATGCTCCATATCTTCCTCAAAGGAACTGTGGATACAATTTGAACTTGTTTATATTCTTTCCAGTGGCCAGGAAAATGAATAATTCCTTTTTCCGTATTTGGAAATCCCTCAACAATAGATTTACCATTATTTAATCTTTCTTATTTTATCAGCTATATTTATCTTCTGGTGCTCGTGGAACTCTATTGCTGACACTAGTCCCATGGAAATTTAGGGAAACCTCTCAATCTATTGCAAGGGAAACGGGCTATAAAAATCTTATTTTGTCTAACATTTGCCATCACTTTCCCCACAGCAAAAATTGTCCTGTGCACAAAATGCAAACGATGTTTCATTTAATGTCGTACTTATAAAAAACCAAACCACAATCTATTGGTGACAATGCATTTTCCGTTCTGTTCAAGATTTATTTGGCATTGTATTAATATGTATTAATTCTGTCTGGAAAGTACTTAGGCTGGAACTGAGTGATGTCTTGCAGATGGTGGGCCTAACTTTGAGTGACTCTTGCCGCCCTTCATTGTGTCTAGCTCTCCTGGCTTCTGTGGATTATGAGTTTCCACTGAAAACATTCCAGATCTGGAATGAGCATGCGCTCTATATTTAGTCATGTCATCAGGAGTGCCATTGTACAAGTGCTTATCTTTCTTAACTACATCAGGGATTGTCCTTCCTCTCCTTGTAAAGAACAGAAATCTTTAAATTCAAATGGCTGCCATGAATTCTTCCTGTGAACTAGTCAGACACTCAATAATGGTGTATTTTAGTACATGTCAGGCAATGACAACTATTTCTAAAATTCTTAACATTTTGTATCGGCTTTTATTTTTCATAGAAATCCAGGCTAAAAGGGATCTTGTGAGGTCATCTCTTCATAATTCCTGATCTAAACTAAAATAAGTATGCTTAGAATCTCCCTGCCAGAAGCTTTGTCAGGGCCAGCCTTCAGAAACTGGTGATAAAGGAAATACCATGGCATTCCTACTTAGGCAGTTTTGCTCCTCATTACATTTTGGAATATTTCTATGTATTTCTATCTTCAAATTTATGTTGCATAAATCAAGCTGATTTCTTCTTGCCCTGACATGGATGACCATGGAAAAAAATTTGATTAGTATGTATTAAATCCCATCAACTGCATTTTGATTTTGAAATAATACAATAATGATCTTTTTGTTATCTTGCTTGCTTTCCATAGCCAGTAAGGTAGCATTTGGTCTTTCTTTGACTTGAATATTTTTAGTTTGTCCTCTTCTTGTTGTAAACAACTTTTGGACTTGGGACTCGAAAATAAAGCAAATCTTTTTGCATATTTGATCTTCTCTTTATAGTGCTCTTTATCCTACAGCATGACACAGGTATTAGCTGTGCATGGTCATTTTTTATCTTCCAAATAATTGGAGAGTTGTCATATACTAATATTTTTATTCTTTACTGAATTACTGCCATTAAGTAATCCATTACATATATTCCCTTTTTCTCTCTAATTCCTTTGGAAGGCAAGCTATCTGGAAGTGTCTGAAGTCTACCATTTTTTGTGGGTTAAAATTTGCAGCAGTTGAGGACTTCAGCATATGTCCTTGAGTTAGCCAGAAATCTGTTCCTCTTCTTGTGCTATTTTTGGAATCATTAATGCTGTTCTCCTGAAATGGCTTTTTCCCATGCTGTTTGGGAATCCAACAGTTAAAAGTTGTTTTCCCCAATTTGAACAAATATTCCATAGTGATTCCTTAGTAAAGTTTTTCCATCATCTGAAAAAGCATTGTAGTTTTGGAGTAATGGCACTGAAAATTTTCCAGGCATGTCGATTTGCCTAATGTCTCCAAGACCTCTTTCATATTTTGTATTTCCCTATCGTCTGATAACATATTCTTCTACCTGTAAGAATCAGGGTATTGATTTCTGCTCTCTCAAGCACTTGCCACTGCTGGATGGGAATTGCACTGCACAATCTTGAAGAACAATTTGGTTGCATAACCTATATTTCAGTATAATCAGAATTGCTCTGAAATTGTCTTGCAAATTAATCTGTCTTACCATGAAACCTTTTGTGGTTTTAATTCTCAGCTGTTCTGGGCACAGCTGCAAAATCATGCTAAAAGGCATATTACAAGTTTTGCGTTCTTAACCAAGATTTAATAATTGAATTTCACTGCTCTTTAAATGCTCTGCCTCTGTCTGGCCTTGCACCTTTTATAGATTGTGCTTGTCCTTTACCAAATGTACAGACCATGATGAAAAAGTCATAACTAGCAGGCTTTTCTATGCATTGTACCTCATTTAAGTTTCCTGAAGCAGCAGCAGCCTCTAAATCATCAAATTCAATTGTATTCAATTCTCAGGAAAATAAGAAATAGATCATTAGAGTACAAGGCAGCCTGAAATCCAGCTGTGATTCTGTAACCTCCTAGACACTGGATCTAATTGTGACTGATAGAAATTATACTTTTTATTTTTTTTTAATTATTATTCCTATATAATGTCTCCAGCATTATTTGCAGATTCCTACTCCATGTTTTGTTGAAAAGTTATAGTATATGAAGGGTTGAAAAACTGCAGGGAAACATGCAGACTTGACTTGTGTAAGGGGTGGTGATGTGTGTAATAGAAGTGGAAAAAAGAGGAAATTAAAAGATTTGGATGTTGCCACTGACAGGGTGAAGTTGTAAGGGCAAGGGCTGAAAACAAAGGAGAGGTATGATGTAGAAAGGATGTTCATATTCAGTGATTTTACACTGGAAATAGCATAGGCATGTAGTGATAGGAAAACGGGTAACACTTTTAAACTGAAAGGGGGCAGTTTTAGATTACCTATGAGGAAGAAATTCTTCACTGTGAGGATGGTGAGGCACTGGAACGGGTTGCCCAGAGAAACAGTGGATACCCCATCCCTGGAAGTGTTCAAGGACAGGTTGGATGGAGCTGTGAGCAACCTGGTTTATTGAAAGGTGTCCCTGCCCACGATGGGAAGGCTGGAACTAGATGATCTTTAAGGTCCCTTCCAACCCAACGCATTCTGTGATTCTATGTTTCTATGAAAGTGTAGATACAGATTTTGACATACTTTAAAATATATACCACTGCTCTCCCAAGGCAGAAAAAAATTAATTAATTCATCCAAAGTGTTCCCAGGGGATGCAGACAAAGCAAGCAACATTAGTAATACATTCCTATAAAGCTGCCATATTTAGATTCAAACTTGCAGTATTCAGGGATCTCAGCATGTCTCCTTGAATTACTCAGTTATCAATAAAGGGAGCCTCAAATCTCACAGCTTTTATTAGACCCTTAATGTTGTTGAAGAACATATTTCACTACCTCTAGCTGAGTTCCTGATATTGTGGCCTCAAACTCCTAATTTTACCTCAAATAGTTTCTTCCACACAGTGCCTCTAGAGAGCAATGAATGATATGTAATAGAAAAGTGGCCGACATCAGCCAGGGACAACTGGAACCAGAGCCTGGAAAAGAAAAAGAGAAAGGAAAAATCAGAAGAATCCGATAAAATTATTAATGAATGATGCCTGGAGGCATTCTTCTTCTAGGGATCTAAATCATAAACCTACCTTCTGATAGGCCCAACACAAGTCAGCTTGTGGACTTGTATGAATCTAGAGTAAGTTTTCATCTTTTTCTTATTTTTAGAATAGAACTCTGCAAGTTCATGTAATAAAACATGCTTTTTCAATAATGTATTTGCCTGTAATTAACAGATGTATGTGATAATATGCTAATGCCAGAGGCAACATGATGCATCAACTCAGTATCTGGTCATATAACAAGGGTGACAAATTGAAAAAGGGAGTTTCTAACTTGATATAGTGACAGTATGTTCACCACAAGAACATGGGAATAAGTTGCTAAAAGAGGCTGTGGAATTTCTGTCCTTGGAGCATTTTCACACCCTTAACTGGACAAGGGCCTGAGCCACCTGGTCTAAATTCAATGGTGGCTCTGCAGGAGGCTGCACTAGATGACCACTGTCTCTTTCATAGCAAGAACTGAAGGGAATCAATGAAATAGGATCTGGGATCAAACCAAACAGAAGAAGGTGGCTCTTCATACACAGCTCAGGTAAAATGAACGAGGAACGCTCTGCTACTGGCTGGCTGGAAGTTATGTGGGCTGTAGTCTGGACAGGTTCACAAAAAAAAAAAACTCATTAGGAGTTACATATGTAAATAATATCTTGCTCAAGAGCTTTCTGAGCTCAGAGCTTCTGAAGGCAAGCATTAGATGTAGGTACCATAGTTAAGGGATAAAGGGAAGAAGCTGGGGAGTTGCATATGATTGTCTGGCTCTTGCACTCTTTACTGGCACCTGCTCCTGTTGGGGCGTGAGACTGAATATTGGGCTAACCAGACATTTAGTCTGACCCCGTACAGATGCTTTTAGGACCTGAAATCCAAAACACAATAATGTTTATTCAATTAAGTTACTATTGAAGTGGAGAAGCCTATTTTATCATGGTGGTCCACTGGCCAAAGTGTGGTGGAGTTCCAAGCTCAATTCAATGAGTTCATGCAGCTGACGGAACATGAAAGACTTCCTTCATAGCATCAAGGCAAATTAATCTTTCCAGAGCAAAACTTTGTCTCATCTCTTCTGCACAGACCTAAACGTGCAATGACACTAAGCAACTTGTATTTGATTTACTTTTTAATTGCATGAGAACTGACCTTATTGCAAGTTCTGTGATAACTCATATCTAACCACAGCATTACCTCAGTGACTCACAATTGTCAGGGCTTCTCTGTTGGGCTGATGCTGTCTGGATGCCAGGTGCCCACCAAAGCCACTTTGTCTCTACCCCTCCTCAAATGGACAGGGGAGAGAAAATATGAAAGGCTCATGGGTCAAGATAAGGACGGGGAGAGAGCACTCAGTAGTTACTGTCATGGGCAAAACTGACTTGACTTGGGGAAATGAATTTAATTTATTACCAATCACATCAGAGTAGTATATTGAATAATAAAATCAAATCTTAAAAACACCTTCCCCCGACCCACCTTCTTCCAATTTTACTCCTGATTCTCTACCTCCTCCCCATCACTGGCACAGGAGGATGTGAATGGGGGTTGTGGTCAGTTCATCACACATTGCTGTTCCTTCTCAGGGGAAGGACTCCTCACACTCCTCCCCTGCTCCAGCATGGGGTCCCTTCTGTGGATGACAGTTCTCCATGAACTTCTCCAACTAAGTCCTTCCCATGGGCTGCAGCTGTTCACGAGCTGATGTAGGTGGGTTCCTTCCACAGGGTGCAGTCCTTGAGGAAAAGACAGCTCCAGTGTTTGTGTCCCCTGGGGTCATGCGTCCTGCCACCAAACCTGCTCCACTGTGGGCTCCTCTCTCCATGGGTCCAGAGGTCCCTGCCAGAACCCTCCTCCAGCACAGGCTTCCACGGGGTCACATACTCCTTTGTCCATCCACCTGCTCTAGCATGGGATCCTCTACAGGCTGCAGGTGGATCTCTGCATTCCCACAGACTTCCATGGGCTGCAGGGGCACAGCTGCCTCACCATGGGCTCCACCACAGGCTGCCAGGGAATCTCTGCTCTGGCACCTGGAGCACCTCCTCCCCTGCCTCCTTCTGCACTGACCTTGGTGCCTGCGTGGCTGTTTCTCTCACATATTCGTGCTCCTTTCTTGTCTGACTGCAATTCTTCCAGCACAATAACTTTTCCCCCTTTTTATATACATTATCCCAGAGGTGCTACCAGTGTCACTGATGGGTTCAGCTTGGCCTTGGCCAGCAGCTTGGTCTTGGAGCTGGCTGGCATTGGCTCTCTTGGACATAAGCGAAGCGTCCAGCAGCTTCATACAGAAGCCACCCCTGCAGCCCCCCTGCTACCAAAACTTTGCCATGGAAACCCAATACAGTTTCAAAGAAAAGCAACACTGAAGATTTAGTATTAGAAGTTTTAATCAAAATTCTGACTTAGGATAAAGGGCTACAAGATACTCCTCCTTTGTAATTGTGGATGAACTAAATTTCTGTGAATTACTGGAAGATGATAATACTGAGGAAGAGTTTTTGATGGTGTGCTGCCAGAGAAATTAGTCTAGAGAAGTTAGCAATAGTTCTGCAGGTTTAAGACTCTGCTAGACTTTCACTAAACCCCTACCAAACTCTTGATTTCAAGCCCATGCTTTCTCCTGTGCAACTGAAATCAAACAACTTTGCAACATTTAGCCTGCAATGTGTCTCACAGTAACAACCATTCTTTGTTGTTAGAAAATGACACTGGTATAGTGTCCTCTTCTCCAGTAGTGGCCAAAAAGGGAGGTCCAGACAAGGCCATCCTGATGCACCATACCTGCATGTTGTCTGAAACTGGTATGAAATTGAGCAAAGCCCTCTCTCTTCCCAATGAGGCTGTTTTTCCTGCCTCCTACTTTCTTCTGATTATTTATTTTGGTTATCTGGAAGAAAAAGCAAAGATTATCATTTTCCCTGTACTGCATACAGGGGTTCTTCCTCTCCTCCACAGCCATGTCCTCAGTGGTCTCCTCTATTTTACTAACCTGTCCCCAGTCAGGCACACCTACCCTTTCCTGCCTCTCTTTGCAGCCTGTCTTTTCCCTGTTTAACATCCTCTTTCTACCCTAGGCTAGCTAACATCCCACCTCCTGGCTTTTTGATCCTTTTGTTCTCCCCAGTATCAGACCAGCAAGACCTCCCCAGAGCCATGCTTGGCTCCAGCACTGCTGCCCTCAATGAAAGAAGCAGGTGGAGGTTTTCACACCCTGAACCCCTCAGCTTTGCCAATCTCCTTCTCCTGCTGCAACTACCACTATGGCCAACCCAAGGCACCAGCCAGGACTCCCTCACCTGGAACCCATCCTCTGCAGGCTGGCACAGAGGACGAGAGTAAGAAGCCTAAGGGCTCTGCTGTGCGGCAGAGCATCCCTTTGCCTGTCCCATCACCACACTCTGGGTGACCTCAGCTTTGCCTGGAGCACTTCACTCCGTTCTTGGCTGTAGCATCCCCGTCTGCAGCACCTGTACGGATCTTGGTGTCACAGGTCTGAGCTGGGAGCCAGCAAAGCCTCACTGAAATGCACTGAGCGGGCTCTCTCATGTTACCACTCCCGCCTTTTCTAGGTCACTGATGAACACAGGGGCTGGCACAGGTCCCTCGCGATACCGGTGACAGCTCTGCTTTGTCGCCTGGCTCTTCCTGCCTCTCTGCGATGTGTTTTAACCTTGCTGCCACCGTCCCATGTGCGTCCAAGGTTCAAAGTCCCTTCGGCCCGTCTGCCTCTCCTCACCTGCCAGCGCTGGCGATCGCGTACCCCGGGGCGCGGCGGCAGCCAGGTGCGCTCACACCTGTACATCCCGACCCTCTCCCCCGGGCGTTCCGGACGCGGCTCCCACACCGGAGCACGAGACTCTCCCGAGCGAGCGAGGAGCGTCCCTGGGGATGCGCGCCCTCCCCCGGGGCCGCTCCTGCCCCCGAGCACCCTCTCGCTGCCGGGTGGTGCCCGCGGGGCTGAGGTGGCCGCGGAGGTGACCGCGGGGGGCCGCTGCGCCTCGCCGGCCGCGCCGGGGACGGGGCCACCGGCGCACGCGGGTCCGGGGGGCGGGCGCGGGGCAGCGGCGGACAAAGCCGGCCGGCGCCTCCGCACAGCTCCCGCTCCCGCCGCCGAGCCCGCGGCCTCCCGAGGGGCGGGAGGTGTCGCCCCCCGCCCGCACCGCGCCGGCGGCGGCCGCGGTGGCGCTGCCGAGCCGAGCCGGGCGCTGGGCGCCGAGCGCCGGCCGCCCGCCCGCCCGCACCCCCGCCCCGGCCGGCGGCGCGCACGGCGAACATGGCGGCGGCGGTGGGGCGGGACACTCTACCTGAGCACTGGTCCTACGGCGTCTGCAGGGACGGGCGCGTCTTCTTCATCGAGTAAGGGGGCGCCGCGCGAGGGGTGCGGGGAGGAGGGAGGGCGGCCCCGCTCCCGCCCGCCCGCCCGGGCGGCCGCACGCAGTCACCGCTAACAGGTGCATGTTTTCCGCTTCTCCCTTCTCAGCGACCTGACCCGCACCACCACCTGGCTGCACCCTCGCACCGGGGAGCCCGTCAACTCCGGCCACATGATCCGCTCAGGTGGGTGCCCGGGGGGCGGCGGGGCCCGCGAGCGGCGCCCCCTCCTCGCCCCCCTCCCTCCCCGCGGCCGGGCGAAGTTCTCACCCCTCCTTCCCGCTCTCAATCTCTTTCTCTCTCTGTCTCTCTCTTTCCCCCGTGCCTTGCAGACCTGCCCCGCGGATGGGAGGAGGGGTTCTCGGAGGAGGGCGCCAGCTACTTCATCGAGTGAGTACCCGCTCGCAGCCCCGGGGGCGCTGGCGGCGCGGCCCCGGCCCGCCCGGGGGCTCGGCTGAGCCGCTCCCACCCCCGCACCGGCCCCGCACGTCCGCCGGGCTCGTTAACGATCCGCGGGCTGGAGGCACAGCGGGGTGCGCCGAGCCACGGGCAGAGTTGGCTGCCGGGAGCGGCGGGATGCGGGATCCTCCGCAGCCGCGCTCTCGCGGTGCTCAGCAACAGGTTCGCTCGGAGGCGGCTCTTCACTTTTCCTTTTTTTTTTTTTTTTCTTTTTCTTTTGGTGTTGTTTCCTCCCCCCTCCCCGGTATTTCCAGAGCGGTGTGTGTCAGGTGGAGCGTTGCACTGCTGAGCGCCGGCCGTGGTGGAAGGTGTGGATGGTGGTTTTGTTGTTTTAAGTGGCTCGTGGCTGTGGACGCAGCCCCGGGAAGTTTTGCAAATGAAAGGCTTCCTCTAGTGTTTCTTCCCAGAGACGGGGCTGAACAGATGAACTTGCCGTTCCGGGGCTGGTGGTGGCCGTCGGGTCTTTCTTGTAGCATTTCTCATTCAGGGAACAGTTAAAAGCAGAGATGTGCTGCTTATTGAGGTGCTTTTGTTCTGTGGGATGCCAACATATTGGAGTAAAGTAGCATAATTAAGGGAGCCACTTTAGAACGTTGCATATACAAGGCTTTTACAAATGTAAACGCTGATGTAAAAGTAAAGATTTAATCAAATCAGTACAACTCAGGGACGTCCTGCATATAGAGATAAGTGTCACTTGTGATGCCATTGCATTTTTCCTTTGGAAGTCTGAATGCCTGACAAATTTAATGGAACTAAGACAGCTTGGAAAACACTGAGACTATCTTATTGCTTCAGTGCAGGACTGGGATGGCTAGCCCAGGTCATTAATTACAGCCCCCAGTAACTGCTAACAGTTGTGTCATAGTTGTCTAGTTTTGAAATGCCTACAGAGCTTACCCCAAAACCTTTGACAAACTTTAGGTTTTTAGTAAACATCAGATTTCCAAACTCTACTGTGCTAGGAATTGACTTGGAAGGAGGAATTGACTGAAGGCATCTGAAATGCCTTGCATGGTAGAATGTTTGTTAAATAAAGTTCCAGATGATCCTAATATGTCCATTTTTCACCTATAAAGGATAAAAAAGGCATTGAATCTCTGTTTATCTGAGCCAGAGAATTCCTTACAGTGCTGGACTGGGCAGTTAGTTTAGCCCTTGACTAAAGGAGGTGGTAGCAAGGCATTGGAGAGCAGCGTAATACCACTTAGAGTTGCCACCCTTTATCTGTGGGTAGTGAGTTGAAAGAAAGGAATAAAAGTTCTTTTGGTTACATAGGTGGCTGATGAAACTCTAAAATAAGGTAAGTGTCCAGTCTGTAAGTGTAGTGTAAGCAGATCCTTTACCTGGGTACATAAAGACAAACTTCTAGATGTAGGAATACATCTATTTGCTTTTCTGTCCTTTCCAGAAACTTACTAGTGCAGTTTTAGAACAGCTTAAATTCTTGTTCCCAGCTGCTCTATTTGGAAGAGCACTTAGTGTCTTGTGTGTCAGCCAGTTACAAAACTTTTAATTTCTGATCCATTAAGTTAGAGTTGTGGGCAGTGCATTGTCATAACATTCTTTAGCTTGGGCTGGAATTGCTCTAGGAAATGAAATAGGGAATGGAGCATGTATTTGACAGAGCAGTTGGGTAAACCTGATCATCTTTAGTCAAGCGAAGTTTTGTGAGGAGGCACAGCGATTTTTTGACTTAAATCTGTCAACTGTACTGCTTCAGACCCGAGTCACCTGATACTGAATATGATATTCACCTTTTCAGCACTGATACTTCCCCCAGCACTGCTCTAGCTTCTCTGATTTCAGCTCAGAGGCTTCCTGAGCCAAGTGGAATTTCTTATTTTGATTTCCCTAAACATACTGAGCTCTCCTTGTGCTCATATAAACATCAGCATCCTTAGATGATGATTTCCATACCTCACAGCTCTGTTCATTCCTCCTATGTTGCTACCACGTGATGAGTTCTCAGCTTACAGAAAAGGTTACTGGTCCCTAAACGCATGATTTCACATGTTGTGGTATTAAGTTCCATTTTCTGGCATTCCAGCTCACAAAACCCATGAATTCTCCTGGATAACTACCTAGTCCTCTTTGTACTGGTGATAGTTCCAGTCTGGTGTCATCCACAGAAATTTCCTAAGTGCATTGTTACTCCTTGGCTAATAATTTATTGAAGGGTGTTGGGAGGAATATTCCAAGTAACCTCTCTCCCTTGTGATAATTTCCAGTATTAATACAGCCCAGTATTGTAGTTTTCCACTCTGGCCACTTACTTAATGTATCTTAAATACCTGATTTCTGGTGCAGCAGTAATGAAAATATTAGATAAAACATTGGATGTGAGGTGTCTGACATAAAAAAACCTTAACTAATCCTATGTCCATTTACTTCCATGTCTGTATTGCTTCTTTCTATACTGTGGACAAAACTGACACATCATACAGTAAAACAAAGGTTTATAATCTGGTTAAGGTTAATATCAAAGCCAGGTGAGCTTTTCTCCCCTTTTCACATAACTGGAGTTTGAAAATTTCCAGAACTCTACTTCTGTTGGACAGAAGCTTTCCAAACCAATGTGCTGTGATTTAGAATGTTTTTTTGCTGTTCTGTAGTTAGACAGATGTCCTGTAGTCTAAGGAGTACTATTTTCCCTTTGGTTATTTACTTGAGATGCTCGTCTGAAATCACATTCCCTCTTAGCCTTGTTTTGCTCAGCTAAGCAAGCTGGGTTCTTTGTCCAGACCTTTAAAAAGGGCTCTCTGTCTCCTTGATTATGCTGTAGTTTTCTCTGCACCTCTTGCAACATGAAGTCATCTTTGTTGCATTTGAGTGAACGGAATCGTATGCTGGAGTGAGCTTTTGTGAGGCTCTCACACAACAAAAGTGCTTTTTTGGCTCTAAAAATTTCTCAGTTTTCTGCATTTTAGGTTGTTTGTGTATTTAGGAAAGACGCCCACACTGACAGCTCATGAGAATGCTGCCAATTGACTGATACATGCAGATCTTTCTTTTCCTTTTCTGCTTTGACTTCTAAGACTGTTAAGTTATATTAGGAAGCTACATTCCAGTTCTTCCCATTTTTTCCCATCCATGCCTTTGTGAATGATTTTATCTGTTCCAGTTATTCAGGTTTTCTTGATAGTAGCAAACCCTATTAGTGCAGTTCCGCCTCTTATCCTAAAATCACTAAATAAAACAATAAATTATGTATAAACTGATTTTTCTGGATCTCCATTGGGTAGTTTTGGTAAAACCTATTTGTCTAAAAGTATCACGGGTGTTGCATTTTCTGGCTTGGAATGCTCAGTACATCTTGCACCATTCTTTTCCATCTCTTTTGTTTGTTTGTTGATGTTTTCGAGAAGTCTTGTGTTTGTTGGGCAGCTGCTTTATGGGAGAGTTGCTGCAGAAAGGTTGTTGCTGAGCTTATGTGGAATTGAATGGAAACTTGACAGCACTGGCTCTGGTTTGTTTGTGGTAGTTGGGTTGCTGATGTGAAGTGTTGTGGTTGGCAGACTCTCTTTGGGGAAGGAGACTGGGGACAAGTAGGGCAAGTAATGACTGATGGTAAACCAGTGCATGTATGTGTGATAGTTCAGATTTTTGTTTCCATTTGCTTACCTCTTTCTGGTCATCCAAAAGACTTGGGGAAGTTGGAAAGCTTTGAAAGTGTGGAATGCTTTTTTATTACATTTTTATAGCTTTCAAAGATTGATATGACTACTGATGTGAAAGGATCTGTTCTTCCAGTGTTAGATACCTAACTGGCTTGTATTTAAGTGTGTTAAAAAAAGTGTACTGCTGCTGTAGTATTGCACATCTCAAAGGTAATATTGCATTCAAATTGTTACCTAGAATCAGGAAGAGTAGAAATCAGCACTTAAATATCTGAAGTCAGTTTTTATTTCAACATGGCCTCTTCTTTGGGTAACAGTGGATGTACAACAAACAAAACTGTGAAATTGGCATGTTCATAGTAATAGTAACTGTTTTGCAACTGTTATTTTTTAGGTCTTCTATTTAGCTTGTACTCTATGAAGGAAATATGTGTGGTATGTATTTCAAGTGTTTGGAAATAGTTAAAGAGCAAAGCACACTAAACTGAAGTCTGCCTTTTTGACTTTGATTATTCCACGTCAAGCCTGTACATTCAGGTACAATGTCACTGAAAATTACACCGAAGCTCAGATTCACCCAGTGTGGGCTCTAGCTGATACTCACTTAATGATTATTTAATCACAGAAGCCCAAAGGGGAAGAGACCATCTGGATTATTGAGTTCAGTCCTTTTGATTATCTGAGAAGATTGTTTTATAATCTCATTAATAAGTTTAATCAACAAGTGTCTTCTGCCCTGCAGAAATTCCTGTGTTCCCCACTCCTAGCAGGATGTTGAAAACTGTTTCCTTTTAGTGGCTGTTTATGTGGGCTGAAGCACTGTTGACTATGTATTCCACAACCTGCTGTAAAGACAAATTATTATTTCTTGTTCTTACCCTCTTTTCCACGGTGGCTGTTGCTGTAGAAGTAAAAGATATTGAAGCACTTAACTACGAAGGAGTAGTGATGAGCTTCATAATGAGATCTTCCATATAGATCATGTCCTTTGGGGTTCTTTACCTGTGCTTAGATAAAGGGTCTCAATTAATGGATAAGTAAGTGTATGAACTGACATGAAACCCACCTGTGAGGAGCTGGCCTATGAAAGCACTGTAGCATTGCTGTGCATGGCCAGTTTGAGTTGTGAGAAGCTCTTGAAGCAGAATAAAAACTAGGTAGCTGGAACCATGTGAGAACTTCACCAAAAGTGATAAGTTTACGCCATCTCTAGAAAATCTGAACACAGTCTCCGGCAAAATGGAAGTGCTTTGTGTGCTGTAGAGTTTCATGAGGAAGCTTTTAGGGAAGGAAACCTGGACTGGTTCCACAGCAATGGGGAAAAGGTCTAGTTTGGATAAATCTTGAGAGCACCATGTACA